GTGCTAAATCTTTTCTTACTTGCATGGAAACAAAAACCCGGTAACTTATCGTGCAATTTAGCATTTACCTTAACATTTCCATGAAGTACAAGCACAAAATCCAACCTGGGACATTAACTTTTAGGAGCTGCTCTTTAATTCGGCAGAAATATGACGCGTAAATCTGAAGGTTTGTGTTAAGTGTCACATGTCTTCTTACAGCTGTCAGTGACAAAAACTGTACTGCCATATTTCCTTTGAGCCATGGCCACAAATATCACCTACTAAATGTTTTTAAACGTTAAGTATGTGTATCTTCACTGGCTACTTTGCTTTCATTTAGTTGAGTTTATGTAATTTCAGTGAGCTGACATTTGCATGGCAACCGCTCATTCGGGAAGTATAACGTCAGACTAGCACATCTATCACGTTTGATTAACAGCATAAAATAATTACTAATAAAAATAGATAAATTCATCAAGTTATCCTGCAGATATCGAGCTGCCACAGAGCTGTCATTACTGGAAATGAAAGTAAACACTGCTCACCTCCCTCCTCTCTGGTTTGTGTTGCTAACTTAGCTGCTAAGCTAGCAGGATGCTCGGGACCAAATCCTCACTCGCTAGCCGAAAAAAGCTCACTTTTCCAGTTCAGCCAGCACGGACTGGTTCGCCTTTATATGGCAGCCTGGAAGTTGGTGTAAAGCGGGAAATAAAAACGCATTTCTACAAAGAAATACGTCTCTAACACGGCGCTAACTTCAGCAATAAACTAACCGAACCAGCTGGTTCGGTCAACCAGTCAAAATAAAACTACCTCTGACGCAAGCTCACATTTCCGTTACTTATTTTCAAAGTAAAGGCTTGTTTACCCTAGTTGCAAGGCAGCCCGTTGGCTGACCAAAGAAAGATTTTATTTTGAACATTTTGCCCCATCTTATTATCGTTAACTTGACGACCCGGCTGTAAAATCACGGTTGAAATTTGACTCCATGTTTTAGAGTTTAATATCACATATTAAGTATATTTGTTTTTTATGGTAACCTTTAGCTTATTCTGCCTCGCGTTTTACAAATACATTTGATAAATTTGTCTATTTGAATTAGCCACAATATATTACCCGCTTTTTCGGACTGTCAGGGTTATCAATATGAGCGACCCTTCTAGCGGCATGTACACGTGTACATGTCATATGACATATGTCATACCTGTCTGTGCCATAATAAAGCAGAGTCCCTGGGTCTTGGGCTCACACTGAAATCCCAGTGAATGAAATCCTTCTTTTATTGGCGTTTACAATTCTGGCATCAGACAAGTGAGATTTGGTGCAAAGTTACCACGGATGCCTGTTTGAACCAGCGCCCTTCTATAATAATCACATTTACTGGAGATGAGTTTATAAACGTGTCGCCTGACACAGTTGTTTTTACGTTATTTCAGTCCACAAACTGAGCTGAACCGGCACTTCCCTCTCGGGCATTTAAACACACCCTCAGCTGCAGAGGAGTTAAATAAAAAACGGTTATAATCCATCAGATCCTCCTGTGTTTTAACAATCGAGCTGTGATTCTGAGAAGTCTGTTAAACTACAGCCAGCTTTCCTTCCAGCAATATGATAGATTTTATTAATATTGTAGCTTAGGTCTTTTCCATACTGCTGACCAAAGCATTTAAAATTCACACTCATTGTACAATCGTGACTGCACACTCCCACAGAGCTTTGGAAACGCTTCACACACACTCACTCACACACACACACACACTGCTGCTGCTTTAACTGCTTTCAGTGTGTTATATGTGTTTAATCTCTTGATATTTTCTAATATTGTAGTTTTAATTTGCTTTATAAAGTCAATCTGCCGTCAGTAGGCTCATCTGTGTTTCTGATTGGTCAGCTGCTCTCAGCTCCAACCATGTGAGCACTAAACTGATTAACCCTGAATCAGAATCAGAAAGGGTTTTATTGCCAAATGTTGAGCAGGTTTACAACATTAGGAAATTG